CTCACCATACTACTGCCACAAGTGCATAGAGTAATTCAGTTCTCTGCATATATTTTTTTGTAGATCTCTGATAAAAGCATGTAGCTGTACGACGTACTCGTTATGTAGATTCATTTTTGGAGCGTAATGCGCATCGGTGAGTCGGTAGCACAGAGGTAGAATGCTCGTCAACCGCGCAGGTGGTTTGGGGTTCCATCTCCTACCGATTCACTCCTTTATCTCGCTAAGCCAGTAATATCACTAGTAAAGAGGGAAGGTTAGGCATGAGGCTAGCAACCCCATTCCGTAAAATGAAATACCACTGCTACCGAAACTTCAAGTTTCTAACTTGAAACCCGCCTATGTTCCACTGGGAACGTAAAGGAATAAAAAAATATATTATTAGTCATTCTCCTGTATGCTTTTGACGCCATATCACCAACAGTGTCCAGCTTTCGGTCCTTATGCTTCTAAGCCTCCCCTCCTCTGATTGACTCAAACCAACTGTCACAGACTTTATTGGTTGATGGCATGTTTTGGATTGCCCTCCCCCGCCACCGCAATCTTTTCTGACCTAATCCTTTGTTAGGTAATTTTACTCATCTATTAAGGTGATGGCTTCTCATTCTTAACACGTGCCGTATTCACATCTTAAACGATCTGACCTCACGACCTGACCGATTCACTTGTCCTGTTTGTCTAACACCACTCCTAACCCCGATATTACTCACCATTAAACACGGGAGGTGACGTGCCAACATTCTGTAATCAAAGACAGCTAATCTCTTCAGGTGTAGATTTCACCACTGGGTTGTTGATTTATCTAATTCGACTAGGATGTGCCTTTTCACACATCACATTTATAACCAACTGATCACTTGAAAATGTTTCCCACACATTGATAGATACTAAACGGCAAACTGCGAAAAACGACGCAAGGGAACAGCAAAACCTTCAGAAAAATTTAAGCCGTAAATGAAATCAATCTGATTGGTTGCATAACATAAATAAACGAATCGAAACTATCCAATGAAGTTATGAAGTCAGTACATGCGTAAATCATGTCTAACAAAGAAGCTTGTCCATCATATTTTGTTTCTTTATTCATTCCTATATCTATTTTCTGGTTGAGTTATGTTAGTACATTTTCAAGAATTATATTGACGCATATTGTTGTGGTGTTTTTCTTCTTCCTCTTATTCAGATATTCGTAAATCATCTGATATACTGTCTGATGAACATTCCAGTTCAGAATCAAATCGCAGGGATACACTAACTGCTGCTGCTACTGCTACTGCAGGCGCAGCACCTACTACAGATACTACCAATGTAAATGATGTCACTAGTAAGTTTAAATTGATAGTTGTAATGGCTGGTGGTAGTGTCATATTTTTCTCCCATTTTTTAAATTTCTTTACGTTCTGAGTGAAACGCAGAACTTCCAGTATCTGGCTAGAACCGCTAGCGCCTTCCTCCCAAACTCCCTTCATTTCTGGGTTTTCTACCGGTTAAGAGAGGTTGGGAAGTACGTCTCTCTGAAGTCGAACCCGAATCTCATATAGCTGGCAAACATTCAACAATAGTAGCTCGTACAAACTCATTTTACTTTTTTCTGACTTACTGTGCATATTTTCCTACCTTTGTTTTTTCAACCAGTTACTGATGCAGCAGCTCCTACGAAAACACTTTTTGTCACACCAGAAGACCAGTTGAATGCAATGGATTTACCTCGATGTATTCTCGCTGGCGGGCCAGCGTTTGGTTGGACACATGAATCAATTATTATTTGTTGGCGTCGATTTTTAGGTGTTTTGGGCAGTTTTTATAAAATTAACAATCCAAGTACAATGCTTGATGTATTTCAATATCTAAATGAAATGACTACATGTCTATTGAAAATTAGAGAATATCAAATTGTCCCCTGTGTTACTGAAACATGCGTTCAACCGATTCCACCATTTGTACCACCTGTAGAGTTTATTGCACCGGTTTTATTCGATGTAAGTTATTTTCATTAAATTTTCGATGTGTCGATATAAACGTAAAGTTAACTGATCTCTGTGAAAATATCTCCAGTTGGCTTTTGTTTTCTGACATGTTGCTTGCCACGATTATGATGTTAAGTGCTTGTGGAAGTGTGTGTGTGTGTGTGGGTGATCGTTCTTTCCCGATTGCTCACATCTTGAGAAATTGATTTCCTCCTGAAGTACCTGAGACAGAAGGAGCATTATTATCTTGTGATCACAGAGTCTAGGGGAGAACTGTTTGTGGCCGGTTCACACTCGGCCTTTTTGAGTTAACCTCTGGAGTAATGTCCGTATAAAGATCCTACCACCGACCGACTGGACAGTAAGTCGAGGCGTCCAATTTTGGGGCCTTCATTTTCTAACGTTCCCTCCTCAGAGCCAAAAGGTTGCTCTGCTAGCTTGTTGGTTGTCTGACGGAAACACATTACTAGTGTTACATCGCTATTTGTCAGTAGTATGACTTCACCCATATTGTGATGGCAACGGCTTTCATCCTAGACGCTATCCAGATGACCTTTATGGCATCGTAGGACCTACAGGAGTATTCTTTCCGAACAGTGTTTCTTGTTCGGTCATTGGTGTACATGTACATGTAAGCCGGGTCATCACGTCAAGGTAGGTAGCAGCTCTAGGTCGGTAAATCGTCTAGTAAGATGACACCTATCCTTGAACCCTTTAAACTTTTGTCAACTTTTAGAATACTCTTCATCCTGGTTGATATTTGTTTCAAAGTGTTTGTTGATTTATCCCCATGTATTCATGACCTTCGATAAGAAATGTATCATTGTTATTATTATTTGCACTATGCTGCATTTGGCGCTTGTCTTAGCGATTAAGTATATTGAGCATATAATTTTTTAGGATGTATTAGTTACCAACAATAAAAAGGATTATGGAGATTTTAAAATTTATGGATTTTGTACAATATGAGTATATGCCTTCCAATTCTAGCTGACATATAATCAGGTTGGAAAAGAGCTAATGGTAGTCAAATCAAAACTTGGAATCAGTCCATGCGATTTTAGACAGTTAGTTTAAGTTACACGTAGCCAGGTGTAGGCAGTGTGGTTGACGTCCTCAAGATGCTGAGAACCAATGGCTGTAGACTGTTGATGATATGGCTCAAAATCGTTCACTCTTTGTGATCTCCCATATCCATTAAACCCTCATGTTCTTTCATGTTACTCTTCTTTCTTCCCCCCCCCCCCCCCGATTTCTGCTTATTGTCGTTCTTCCGAATCTCTGTTTTCCTCATTTGTCTTCCCTTACGTGCTATATGATGTGTGGTAACTTGAAGTGATGCACTGCTGTGTGGGAAGTTCTGTGTTGGAACCAGTCAAACAGTCGTGAGCCGCCTTAACAGATAATTTGGCACTTTAACACATCCCATCCACTTTAGAAAATGATACTACTGGTGTCCTACCCCCCTCCCCATTGTACACATCAAGGTATAGCTTACGGTATACCTGGTATATTAAGAAAAAATAATTCTGAACTACATGAAGGATGATAAATTACTGATTACATGAAAGGTGGCCAGCTTTAAACGGCGATAAAATCCCCCCGTGAATGTTGCGATAATTGCTTCACCTTTTAGGTGACATAACTGTCTTAATCAACGCCTATCTCTTCTAGGCAGATTTGGTGTTTTGTTACTTACTAAACCTATAAGATGTTATAATAGAGATGTTAATTTGACACTGTTTGTAAAGCATAATAATGACAATAACAATCTTGAGATTTGTTATTGCTTTATTATTTTTTTTAGTAATTATAATCATACGACACCGCATAGTCCATTCACAGTTTTCTAGTTAACTCATGGTTAACTAACTAACTAACTAAATGAATTGAAGTGAAGTGATTTCCAGTGATGATGAAATTACAAACACTAGTTGTTTTTTGTTTAAACTACAGATTTTATAATCGTGTAGACGTCATATATATATGTGTAACTTTCTCTTAATGGTAACTTTCTACTATTTTTATACAATAGTATTCCACTTAACTATACTAATAATAGTACTTATTTTATCTAGTATTGAAAAGCATAATTATAAATTCAAGAGAAGTACATGAGAGGGGGTTGTAATCATATGTAAAAATAATGCATCACGTTCATTTTACATTCTGTGTTTCTACGCACAGTATTACGCTATATTTCAACTCTTTCTCTTATGCCTACTTAATCATTTAGTGATCACAGTGGAACATAGGGCACCTTCAAGCTAGATAGAGCTTTGAAGTTTCGGTAACAGTAGTGTTCACTTTTACGAGATGGGGTTGCTAGCCTCATGTCCAACCTTTCCTCTTTACCAGTTTTATTATTACTGGCTCAACGAGATGAATGAGTGCATCGGTGACACTGGGGTTCGAACCTCGGACCACATGCGTGATTGGTGAGCATTCTATCACTGTTCCACCTATGCCTTTAGTGATCAGTGCCTGTGAGTGTAGTATGTGCTTTGCCCCCAGTCCAAGTGCAAGGTACCGTTGCAAGATTGGCAGGAACCTGTACCTGCACTCACCCGTGCAGGAGAAGCCCTTGAAGTTGTCTACAAGTTCATCTATCTAGGTAGTTGCGTGAATGCTAGTGGGGGTGTCACGGATGAAATCTCTAACCATATAATGAAAGCTAGGGTGGCATTTGGGCCATTTTTGGTGCTGTCTTTCGGTGCGCACAGCCTTGCTCTACACCTGTGGAACATAAGTTCTCCGGGCTTATGATGTACTGTGACTGCGTATTTGACCATCATTATCTCCGCGGATGACGTGATGACAATTGTGTCAGTAATTCTGAGGTTCGGCAGCGTGTGTTCATCTTGAAACACTGACTTCGTTGGCTTGGACATCTCCTACGAATGTCATCCCAGAGGCTCCCATATGACTCGCTATTTGCTAGCTCTGGGACTGGATGGAGAAAAACAGAGAGGTGTCACCTATATGTGGTGCCGTGGAATGAAGGATATTTGTGTTAGGTTAGCACCAGTAGTTACGTCACTACTCACTGGGTGATTTCTGAGGAATAATTTGGATCATTAGGATGAGACGTTATTAGATATAACTAAGAATCGTAATCAGTGGTGAATTTGCCAGAATTTTCCATCATTCTTCCTTTTCTGAAAGTAACATGAAGTTATGAATGTTTGGTGGTCTTGACAAGTATACTTGTCTGCTTTCTGTGTTTTTTTTTATATTGTTGTGTGGCGTATTTCTTACCGCCCATAATGTACTAAGTTTGTGTTCTAAATATATTTTAAATAATAATTTATTATGCTAACTGATGAATGTATCAAAATGTACTTTCTATTCTTTCTTTGACTATTTTTAAAGTCCCTAAATCTATCTGAAGATTTTGTTGAATCTAAACAGCTGGCTATACGTACTCTTAGTGATATCGTTGTCCGTTTCCATGATGGATGCCCTGATCCTGAGTTAATTGCTCAATTTTATTATTTAGTTCATCGAATTTGTGTGTCAAAAGAAGAGGTGAGCCATTTTTCAAGATACACGCTTATTTATTGTATGAAATAATTTAACATATTTCCTGAAAATTATATTTATATTATCATTATTCCTTTGGTTCATGCTATCCAGTTCTTTGCAGTCCTATTCAGTGACTGTACGATATCCTATAAGCTTTAATTTCCTCGCATGTTATCTTTCAATGTCGGCCTCGAACATTCGCCTAACTCGTTTCTCATTCAGGTTCCACTCGGGCGATGGCCTCGTAGGCGTTGTCATTCATCGTTTTTCTCGCCATTCATCCGACCCATCTCTATATCTGTGTCATATTTGATGGGCAATAGGTTCTTGGTTGATTCGTTGCACTACAGAGTTCCTTGTGGCATTATCCTTTCTGCCGGGTCATCTTATCTTCAGTTGGGAGCCAGTGAAGGAAGCTGTTAACGAAGATCGGAATCCTGCTGGAAATGATTCGCTGACTTGAAGGCCAATTTTTTGAAGCATATATATATGTATATGAAACGATTTGATGTAGAGCAGATGTCTGAACTTGGAAACCAAGAGTTATTGATCAGTTGCTTGATCCCAACTTGGGAAAACCTTAGTATTATACGACTGTAACCCTATGGAGAATAGAAAATGGGAAAGTAAAGCCCTGTCTGTTCTGTAAGTTGACACGTTTTTCAGGGATCAATAAATCTGAGAACCTGAAGAATCACCGAAAAGATTATTGTTGGTCTGCTTCAAACAATTGTTTTTATAGCCTCTGCAGTGACTCCAGTTATAGTGACCGGTTACTCTGAATAGTATACAACTATCCTAGATATAAATATGAAGGAAGTGTTTATCCTGCAGCAGGTGTTTAACGCCTCTTGATTTTCTTAAGCGTATCTACTCTGCACTTTGTCTTCTCTCGGTAGTTTGCATTATAATCATCACGGGCGCACTATCTGACTACCGATTTAGATTTTTTTATCCTTTACAGTGTATGCCATCATCTGATCCTATTGTGTAGAGCGTTGATGCCGTACATTTGATGAAATTATCAAATGTGTACTTGTCTGCCTAATCAAATATGTCGTTTCTCATGATTCATTACTAACTATCTCATGATGTATTCATTTCGAAGTGACAGCTGTTTGGTCCTAGTTTGAAACACCCTGGCAGTATTCACACATGATTCCCTCCTTAGGATCAAACATTAGACCTTCAGAATACAAGGCGCGAGCTCGTTGATCATTTAGCCACTAGGACCTGATCTAATGACCACCAGTCCATTAATTCCGACTTCTGTCAATTCACAACATTTATAGCTCAACTATTACCAGCCAATATCACCGGCTAGTAATCGTTTTCTTGCCTGTCTTGATAGATCCCAGTGTTGACGATTTCTCACTAGAACTCCAGGTAGCTTCCTACATACAGTCAAACTAATTATCAACTATTGATTTTCAAGAATATGATTGGTTACAGGTTTGATCGCAAGCTGGCGGCATCAGTTAGGGAACCATTAGAAAACCCATGGGAACTGGGCCGATATTTTATCTCACTATAGGAATCTTCAGCTACTATTCTAAACGTCGGTACAATAACATCGAATTAGTCGATTGTAACTCTCGAAATTGACAAAACTCGTCGTCATGATTTACAGCGCTTCAGGGTAACATTTATTTTTGTGTATACTCTTTTTTAGTACTACTGTTATTATAAGTAACAAATTTTCAACCACTTTTAGGACATTCTACTGTTGTGTTAAGTATTATTCACTTTGTTCATCTGTTTCTTACTTTTTTCTGTGTTTCAGAAATATGTTTTCGAAATCATTCGGTCGTGTAGTATGCGTATATTTGTGTCCTCTCTTCCGTCTACGCATTTACTTATTCTGGATTTCTTAAATGGTGTAAATGTTGTTTTAACAAATCCCAGTCCCGGACCAGAGGTAAATCTCTTCATGTTACCCCTAAGAAGTATAATTTATGATGTAATCCTTTTTCTTCTTTTTCTTTTGTTTGTATTCTTTACCTCAACCTCATGCCGGCTTTGTTTACAAGTACCAAGGAAAATAAATAAACAAACAAATATGTATTTTATTCAGGTGTTGGTGTGCAGAGTTTCTATTGGTTATAGGATTTTATCATGAGCTGACATCGGTTAGAGAATCATTGGGAAACCACCGGGGAGTACTGGACAGCTGTTTCATCAGCACAGTTTAGGACTCTTCAGCAGTACGGACCCTTCTATATGGCTCTGAAACATGGCCAATACGAGTTGAAGACATGAAAAGGTTGACTGTTTTTGATCATAGATGTCTACGATCTCTTTCTCACGTTAGGTGGTATAATAAGGTAAGTAATGTTGACGTTAGGCGTACAGTGTTGGACAAAGAGGGAAAATCAATCGACGAGGCTATAAAGTTACATAGATTGAGATGGCTAGGTCACGCACTGCGCATGGCTAGTCATCGCCTCCCCCGACGGGCATTACTAGCCGATATAGGTGCGAGTTGGAAAAGAGTAAGTGGTGGCCAAACAAAAACATGGCCTCATCAATCCATGAAATCCCTGACAGTGAAACTGAGTCTGGTAGGGAGATGCAGACTTTCGGGTTGGGGCCAGCCCTCGGGACTCTAAGAATCAATGGCTGGAGACAGTAGGTGACATGGCTCAAAATCGTTGTCAATGGCTTACGCAGATGTATTCAGTCTCTGTAATCTTTCATATTCCTTTCTACAATTACTCATTCTGTTTCACTCTTATACTTGTCAAAACTCTATTGATTCTCTTCACTCATTTTCCTGTCTACCTTTGTGTGCTATTTGGAACGTGGCAAGTCGAACTGCTGCACTTCGGTGCCAAGTTCTATGTTGAATCCAGACAGGCAGCAGTACGCACCCCACTGAGGTTCGAAGCCAGGACGTTCTGATTATAAGGTGCGCTCGTAGATCACTGAACCACTGGGACCCGATCCAGTGGCTCATGAACTCCAAATTCTGCCAATTCACGACGTAGCGCGACCACCAGCGAATGTCATTGGTGGTGAGTATTTGTCCTCACATCCGACCTGCTGTACTTCAGTGGTCATAATTTCTCAATGGAACCTAGATAACTACCTGCCTGCATAAGGACAGTCGCTAGTGAGCATCAGATTGATATTCTAGTGATGGTTTATTAATTTATAGATTCCACAGCAGGCTAGGGTAGCAATAGTGGCTTGACCTGTTTCTTTTGCACCCACTGCTCCTGTTGTTTTAAGCAAATTGGAATAAGCTCTGCGGTTAGGAGTATTCTGTATTTGGAAGCCTTGAACAGTTTATTTGGTATTCGTTAAAGTATAGGTAAATATTCTTGAGTGCTAGACTTGTGTCCTTTTTGGACAAGGCGATCTAGTATCGACCTATTGATGGTTTTCACTACACTTTTATTTAGCCATACTGGTTGATGTTTCCGAACAACGGCCAATATAGCTGACTCCACAAACTCATTTGAATTGATAGATACAATAAGAGGTTGTTAGCTTAGGTACTTCTTTCAGTTGAGGAATGAAAACTGGTCGTGTGGGTGGAGTCCTCTTTAGATGGGCTGCATGACTGCCCATAATCTCTCATCTCCTCCTCACATGAACTCCTCCTCGTCGTTTCCCATTTGGTTTCCACTCGTACGATGACCCGCCGCGTAATGTCATGCAACGGTCTTCTCAGTGTACATTTTATCCATCTCCATTTTCTTCGCTATACTTATTGTCTAGTTCGTTGCCAAGGTTCTTTGTTGCTTATCCTCTCTGGCCTGTCATCTGGTCTTTAGTATGGAGGCGGTGTATGCAGCTGTTGGCAAAACTTTGAAGCCTTTTCGAAATGCCTTCTGTAACGCGTTTGGTAAGCCGCTGAATCTTATAGGAGAACTGACTTACTCGACATTAGTGTTGAAAATCCTAATCGTGTTATTTATACTGAGTACAGTAGGTTTCAAGACTGATTTGCGAGTAATGAAGGTCTGTCTTGCCTTTCCCATCCTACTTTTGACATCCTCATCGGTGCCGGCCGTATGTTGTAGTTGAAATGGTTTCTGCCTTGATGATTGGAAGAAGTGAGGTTCTTCAAAAATCCTCCGGTTTATAGTGGTTGATGCTTGTTCTTGCTGATTAGGTAGGTATCCTTATCACCTTTGTTTTCTGTATGTTCAATTGACGTTGTCAAGTATCCAGATCTCAGCGATCCTGGACCTATCGGTAGTTTCAGAAGACTAAGCTTACTATGCAGAACAGTATACACTGTAACCGATACAGAACATCAGAAAACGGTTGGGTGACACGATTGTTTATTCTTCAAGCTATAACGAAACAGATTTACAATGGTTAATCAGTGCCAAGTGTGTAAATAAATGTTAATATAAAGTAAAACAATACTTCTGATCGTATATCTCCAATCTTCTGCCATCCAGTACACGATTAAGCAGTAAAAGCCTTCTTGTCTCCCGCCAAATGGAGACCAGTTTGAACAAACAAACGATTCAATGTTCACCACCACTGGCAGACATCCTGTTTTCACTGCCTGCCTTTTCTTCCAACTTTTTGGTTTTCATCTGTAGGAACATCATCACTCACTGGGGAATGCAGGTACATCCAGATAACGAGTCCCAAATAGGACGAAACGCACATCTTGGATTCCACCTCTAGTCAACATCCACCAGTTAACTTCTAATTATATGCCCAGATATCGTTGAAGCATCTGTACAACAAGCCGACATGTCAACCTGGGATCAAGCACTTCGGTCCAATCAATTGACGAGAAAATCTAAAATTGAATTAAATAATAATAATAAAATATATTTGCGGAGGATTTCGAGGAGTGTTTGATAAATGGCTTACAGCAAACACTGATTGCACAGTACATATAGGAAAAAAAAGGTTACGTAACAATTTATCAGTAGCATTAAGAAGTGATTGGAAACCATCTGATTGAGTTAAGATATGTGGTATTTCTGCTATTATTATCATTATTATTTTCTGTTTTGGCCCATTGATGTTACTTCAATCACTTCCAAATGTTTCCTGCATGTAACATTACGTAATCGTTTTCATGTATGTCGCTGGTTAAGTTAGCTAGTCATTCAGTCAAAATTAGCAACCATTTTCTACTTCTTTATGTATTTGAATATATTTTGTGTGCGTTTTCGGGATTTTGTTCATGCTACTTGGCTTCTGGAAACTGTTGGGTGAATTTTTACTGGCAGGTTTAGGACGAGAAAAGTTAAATCGAAACCTTCTGGCTGTTGTTTAAAACCCTGCCCTATAATGTAGGCTTCTAGATTCAATGTTCTTGAGATATTTTAAACCGATTGTTCTCAGCCCTCGTTGATATAGTTGGGAATTGGGCACCACGAGCCCATGTCGTTTCCGCATCGTAGTTGAAGTTACACACTGTTTTTCCTTTCTGTCTTCTGGTACTGTTATTGATTATTTGGGATTATTTTCACTCTTTTTTCTTGTTTCCATTTACTTTGATTTCAATTGGTTGTGAAGCTAGTACATCTATTGAAGATGGTTGGGACATCTGTTAGGCATGTTGAGCTATCGTCTTCTTCGATGAGCAATCTTAGCTGACATAAGATTAAGTTGGGAAAGAGTTAGAGATAGTCAAACCAAAACTCGGCATCAATCCATCATCAAGTCTTTGAATATTGGTTTAGAGCCTCGTGGGGGAGATATAAGCTGCCTGATTGGGGACGGATAACCAATGATTGGAGACTGTTTTTAACATAACTCAAAATGCAAATTTATTTTCTCTTTTCGAACTCGCAGATCAGTTAGGTCCTCATGATCTTCTATGTCAATGTTCTTTCTTCATTTTTGTGTGGTGTATGGAGTGTGGCGAATTAAACTATTGCGCTTTTGTGTGTGTTTGTATGTGTGTGTATAGTTCTCCTGACCAATAGCTGCTACCTTGACGTGGTGGTCGGGCTTGCATATCGCAATGACCCAACGAGCTATACTGGCTGGAACTAATGTTCCTGCAGGACCTACTATGCCAGGTAGATAGTTGAGATAGCGATTTGACTAAAAGCAGGTACCGGCGTAGTGTAAGATTTTCTTTTTACCCTATGCTGGGGGTATGTGGGTAAAGTCATACTTCTGGGGACTTCGAATGAAGCAGCAATAAGTTTTTTTCGTCAGATGACCAGCATATCAGCCACTTATGCTGTCTCTCCACTCTGGAGAGAGGGGGTTAGAAAAGGTCGACCCCAACAATCCGTACATCCCGACTTACCCTACGGTGATCTGTAACCGGTGGTAAGTTTGCTCATACGGAACCAAACCAAGGAACCAGTTCATACAGGCCGTGTGTGACCGGCCTCAAGCAGTTGTACGCTGGGCTCTGCGATCACACAACACTAACCCTCTTACTGTTTCAGGTACCCGAAGAATCAACCAACTTCCACGGTGTGGGCAGGCGGGAAGTAACAACCGCCCACACACTTCCAAGTGCACACGAAGCCTCCCCGAGCATCACTTCCTTCTTTATCTGTATATTTCTACGTAGAAGTTTAGTCGATCATTTTGATAGTACTCATGTTGATATGCGTTCATGCGACATTCTATGCTTTACATCAGAGTGGAGAAAACGAGTATAGAAAATCAGTGAATATATTTTTTTAAAACTTTATATATCGAGAGTATGGGGGATGATCCACAAATCAATACACAAAAAATATATTTTCACCAAGATTCAATACCCGTATCAACAATTTTGATGTTTCATATGATACTACTGGTAATCTCTGCTAAGGGTCACACTTTGAAGAAATAATTATCGTATGTTGTACTGGTATATGTATTAATAATTTTAAAAATCTCTAGCTTAATATATATTTTTCCACTGTTGGTATGTTTCGTTTTTTCCCCCGGTTAGGTCCCGAGGTCAGAAGCTATATCTGTGATATTATCCTTATTGTGTTATCCACATCATTTTGAATCATTGGAATCCATTGAATCTACATGCTTAGAACCGAGAATCATTGCCTGTAATGATCTGAAGGTAATCATTAGTATTATTACTATTGTTATTATTACTATTATTATCATTGTTATAAAATCTTTTGTTTGTCATGTGTGTGATTAGGTGATGATGCACATACAACTGAATAATTGGAAAATTAATACATTTTCCGTCTAGTTAGTTGTTTTCCTGATTCAAGGGGGTTTGGTTGGAAAACCAGGTGGGGGGCTCTTCAGTGATACTCACCTATGACCACATCAGGGATAGTTAAAACCAAGACCTTGAGGTTACAAAACAAGGCGGGAATTCGTAAGCAGCAAAGTCCATCAATTGAGTTTGAAGACTATTGCTCGCCAATGACATTGGATAGCTCACTCAATCCCGTTGCAGTGGTCAAATAGTTGACGAGCTTGTCTTGTAACTGGAAGGTCCTACGTTTGATCTCTAGGGTGACTGTGAGTGCGTACTGCTGATGAGTTTTCCGAGAAGGGGTGAAATGATGTGTTTTTGTGTTCTGTGTGATTCTTGCAGGCAAAGTTTTGATCACATCTTCTTGTTGTAAATATCTTTCATTCTCAGGTACTTTAGGCTTATGTGTGGTTAATTTTCTTGTACAGTACACATTTTTTGGCCTGGGAAAGTTTTTAGACTACATATAGAACTGCTGAACGGCATTGTTTGAGGTAGTTTTGTACTTTTATATGTTGTTTACGTCATTGGTTCATCGGTACAGTATGCACTAACAACTCACGTTTTTCTGTGGTCTTATCCCCGGTCGATGTACCCAAAATTTCACTTGGCCGGTAATCAGCTTGTAACAACAGAAGACAAGGACCAGGCAACAGATGGTTTATTGAGAAAATCAACAGATGTTTATAGATGTTTATGTACATTATTATTCGTTATTATTAGCCCAGAAACAGCGTCTTCTGATTGGTTATTTTCCTGTTGAAGGTTATTCTGTCATCTCTTTGTGGCCATTTCTTTGAAGGTCAGACCATATGTCTGCTAATCGTATTCGCCCAGGCAGAGTCTGTTGTGATTGGTTGTTGAGTTAGTCTTTGTTCTTGTTATTTTCTCATGACCATGATTTAGGACATAAACATTGGCGTAAATTGCTGTCTACCAATTTCGGCTAGCAGACTGCTCTCACCGCAACCTGAATAAAGAAGGAAGGTTGAGCGTGACGTTAACGTCCTCACCTCGTGAAAGAATATACATCATTGCTACCGAAACTTCAATAGAGCTCAAGCTTGAAACCCCCGCCGCAAGTTCTACTTGGCACGCATAGGAATAAAAAGAAGATTATTGTTTAATAATTCACAGATTCTATTACACCAAAGTATACTTTTGACTGTATTTGTGTGTGCGTGTGTGTATGAGTCGTGGAAATTTGACTAGCTATGCAGAGAGCAGTGCATGGATCGATTGATTTTCTGCTCTCAGATCAAAACGCTTTGGGTTTGTTTGTTTGTTTCTTAGGTAAACTGTGCCTACTATTATTATTACCATTTAATTAACACCTTCTGTTAGAAGCATTTAGAGCATTGTGATGAGAGGATCAGAATGCTAACTTGTGATTACATTCCTAAGTAAAATAATCAAATATGCTTGTGAGAAATCAGTGCACATGTTCTCTGTGTGTATGTAAAATAAAAAAAGCAGGGAAATGATGACTAACTCATGTGATACAACTTTACCTTTCGTATTTTGTGTTGTCCCATATTCTGTGTGTGTGTGTGGGTGTTTGTATAAGTGTATTTTCTCACATTTCATACTCATTATTGTAGGTGTAAAACTACATTCTCTCTTTTTGTGGTCATTTTTTTTTGTAAATTCTCTTGGATCACTTATTTGTTTATCTACATTATGTACATAAGTGTGTGTGTGTGTGTGTATACAATTGTAATATCTACGTTGAACTGAGACGAAAAGTTCCAGGAGTTCTAAGCCTTCTAATCAAACTTTGCCATTGTGTATGCAAGTTATCACATGTGTCAATGAGCCTCATCTTTATTGGCTTATGGCACTTACGACTGTACTTTTCATCAAGCGGTAGTCTGATTTGAATGAAGTTAGTAGAATAGTAGATCAGAGAGATACTGTTTTACTGTAAATAGGCGCGTACTCATCTTGATGAATCTGTTAGTCTTTCACTATTGTTTTACTAGGAAAGGAGTGCGTATTGTGACGATATAACCGGTTTTTTTCCTCGATGAAGACTCAACCTTGTAAGCATAAATGGGAGGAACCTGAAAGAAACAACCTCCTTTACCTACCTTCCTGGGAAGCATCGTTTCAACTACAGGCGGAACTGATGAGGATATCAAAGCAAGAATCGGAAAAGCAAGACAAGCTTTCACTACTCTCAAGTCTGTGTGGAGGTCAACAGCACTCAGCATCAAAACGAAGATAAGATCCGGATTTTCAACTCCAATGTGAAGTCAGTGCTACTATACGGATCAGAGACTTGCACTGGGCGTCATAAAGAGCATCTCAAACGAACTACAGACCTTCATTGACAGTTGTCTTCGCTCAATACCACTCAAGATCAGATGGCCAGAAAAGATCAGCAACAGGGATCTCTGGAAGCGAACCAACCCAGCAGGAACCGATTGTGAAACAAATAGGCAGGAAGAAATGGAGGTGGATTGGCCATACCATCAAGTGACATCACTAGACAAGCCATTGCTCGAGTGGAACCCGAAAGGGAAGCGGCGAGTTGGTCGTCCAAGGGTGACTTGGAGGAGGTCATGTGAAAAGGAGATGATAGCGTGTGGGCAGACATGGAGCCAGGTGAAGACTCTAGCAGAGAAGCGAACGCAACGGAGACGCACGGCTAAAGCCCTATGTTCCTGTAGGAATTGAAGGATACAATAATAAATGATAATAATGCCTTTTCACCTTTGTCAAATACATAAGATGATGATGCGATATGTATGACTGACGCGCTTCAACTCTTCTTCAACCTGAGTGTAAAGGGCGAAAAGTGGTTGAACACTTTAACTAACTGATTTGTTTATTTCAGAAGTAGCATTGTGGTGGTGGTGGTGGTGGTGTGATACAGACAGTGTGTGCCAACGGGATGTTATTCTCACATGTTCCCACAGTTCAAGATGGTAGTAGCAATAGAATACAATATATATCTATTTGAACATTCTATCTGATGTTAGAGGCAGAATACTTTCCCACAGTTCAACAGTGCATACAATATATCTGTTTGAACATTCTATTTCATGTCGTTTGGTGTCAACTAAAATCTAGTCAGAAGTTATGACCAGTAGGGTGCAGCAGGTCGATTGTCAGGACAAATACTCGCCGAAGACATTGGCTAGTGGACGCGCTATGTCGTGAATTGGCAGAAGTTAGAATTCATGGATTGGACATTGGATCGGGTCCCAGTGGCTTAATGGTCTACGAGCTCGCTAGCCTTGTAACCAGAAGGTCCTGGGTTTGAACGATGGCGGTGAGTGCGTACTGATGAAGAGTCCCAAACTATGCTGACGAAACAGCTGTCCAGTACTCCGGGGTGGTTTTCCAATGGTTCTCTAACCCATGTCAGCTCATGATGAAATCCTGTAACCAATCAAATCCCTACAAACCGACACTTAAAAGCACGTGCTCAGTGATTAATTAAATAATATAAACTGTGGATATATGTAAACAGCGGTTTGGTCAGTTGAAAATATACCTTAGCTTCCGTGTCTTGCCTTCTACTGTTACAGCATTAAATCTCTTTAGGGTTGCTTTTCTTCTCCTAGAGAAATCTCAACACAGGTATAGAATGCTCATTTATTACTAGTTACCAACTCCTGTCATCAATCATAGGGATGAAATGTCTGTGTCCAAAATATCGTAGCTCAAAGAATACACATATTTCTGCTGTTGGAAGGAAAAACCATGCCATGCATTGTTGAGCTGTCTAAACATCTTAACGAATGGTTACTTAAGAAGACATAAGTCGGCGAAGAAATCTCTTTTTGTAATTTCATTTCAAAGTGGTACAGGTATTTATTGGGTTTATATATACACAATGTTAAGTGACGACAGAGGTCAGAGGTTGTTTGTGAGTTAGTAACAAAAGAAATCTAAGTGTGTATGAGTAATAACGATGTTTAGATGAGTTGAGAATCATCCTACATAATCAAGGTGGTTGGCATGTGATTAGTTAAGTTATGAATACTCGTCTGGAAGTAATTAATAAAAACAAGAGATTGAAAAGGATTGGAAATAGGCTAGAAAAAATAAAAAAAAGAAATACATCGAGTTTATTGCACAACTGCTCAAGGAAACCAAATTTGATTTGTTGGAGGATTTCATCATGAGCTGACATCGGTTAGAGAACCATTGGAGAACCACCACGGAGTACTGGATGATTGTTTCGCCAGCGTAGTTTGGGACTCTTCAGCAATACCCACCCGCCGCCAGAGCTCATAGACCATTAAGCCACTGAGACGCGATCCAATGGCCAGCCCATGAATTCTAACTTCTGCCAATTCATGACATAGCGCGATCACTTCGCAATGTGTTCTTCGGTGAGTTACTGCCTCACTTTCAACCAGCTGCACCCTACTGATCACGGCTTTCCACTAGAACTCCGGGTAACTGGTTGAATAGGGCCAGTCCCTGGTGAGCATCAGACTAATTTTCAAGTATTTGTTTTGTAGGAAATTTTGTTTGATTGGTTGGAGAATTTCATCATGAGCTGACACTAACGCCACAGTAGTAAAAGAGGCCAGATGAAATATTTCTTAACACAAAAAACGTAGTTCAATGAAGAGTCTCTTTTCAGAGGCGAATTCGTTCACTCAGCTGTACAATCGCAATTATATACACTTATATTTGTATGTGTGTGTGTGTGCAAATTAGGTTTGGTCGATAAGATCTACAGAGTGAAGAACAACCTACCGAGGGCAATACGCTTTCGTCTCCTTTGTATTGTTGAAACCTTAGTCATTCAGTTGAAGAAGCCAGAGTTATGTATACAAAAGAAAATTGCCCAAGCACTTCTACTGTAACGACAGAAGACAAGGGCCAAGCAACAGATCGTTTATTGAGAAAATCAACAGATATTTATAGATTTTGATGTACATTATTACTGGTTATTGTTAGCAGAGAAACAGCGTCTTCTGATTGGTTGTTTTCCTGTTGAAGGTTATTCTGTCATCTCTTTGTTGCCGTTTCTTAGACAGTGTGGTGATATATCTGCTAATCGTATCCTCTCACGCAAAGTCTTCCGTGGTTGGTTGTTGAGTTCCTTAAGGTTAGTCTTTGTTCCTGTTTTTTCTCATGATCAAGATTTGGGGCGTAAACATTGACGTAAATTGCTGTCTACCAATTTTCACTAGCAGGCAACTCTCACCACACTACTATCATGGTAAAAACCGTGTCGACCTCTACTGATTTGATGTTTGTGTTGCGTGACCAGAAGTGATAATGTTATCCATGATTGCGGTGTTGACTGTCCTGTGTTCTCCTTTTGACAACCTTTGGTAGTAAGTGTTCATGGGCACGTCTCGACAATGTCCTGCTCGTATGACTTTTATGTACTTCGCTCTACAAGAGCAAGTGAATTGATAAATACACATTGAAGTTGAAAACATCTTGATCTTGTCTTTGAACTTTTTTAGTGAATAATAAGAGCAAACTGTGGAGTAGGTGAGGAGGTGTAGAGATGTAGCCAAGAATGTTCTCAAATCGCTTTCTACAGGCAGCTTTGGAGAACTTCATTAATTTATGCTTCCTTTGAATTTCAAATTCACAGTTAGATTTGTGTCTTTGGCGCATTCAAGTATCATGGAGTATCGGTCGTTTTTCTCTAGATGTTTATCGATGAAGGCGGTTGGAAAAAGGGATTTTTGAAGGCTTCCTTTTCTCCCGTATATTCATCAATATATCTTCAGTGTAAATGTGGTAGATGATTCTTGTCCACTGAAAGGCAATGCGATTTACTTTGATTGATTGATTGATTCTCTTCACTCATCTTCTTGTCTACCTTTGTGTGCTATTTGGAACGTGGCAACTCGAACTGCTGCACTTCGGTGCCAAGTTCTATGTTGAATCTAGCCAGCCAGCATTAGGTGGAAGTATTCATTTCATTGTATATTTGAATCGTTTTCGATAGTCATATGATATTCTACGTCAGGTATATCTTTTATTGCATTCCATTTGTCTACAATGGATAATTGAGATATTCTCTCTTCCTTATATATATTTCAGTCACAACTGGTTCAACTGTTAACACAAGCTGTTCTATTGGATCCAAGTGCAGAAGTACGATGTTTAGCTATTACTGGATTATCAATCTACTGTGTCATTGAAATTATGAATTCACTTGGATCTGAGCATAAATCATCTACTATTGCTGCTACTACTATATTAGTAATACTACTAGTTCTACAGCATTTGACAGTTTATTTCATGATTCTGTTATAATCCTGTTAGGAATGATGCGTTTCCAGAATAGAATTGTAGCCATCGTTGCAGTGGATATGATTCATATGTTTGCTGATTATTGTTCGATTATATCATCACGTGATGTGAAATTAGCCTCCTTAATACTATTGGTAAGTTTTATTTGAAGCTTCAACTGTTAACATGCCTTTATGGTGTGTGTGTGTGTGGGGGGGGGGTAAGTTAAACTTTAAGCACCAGTGACTACTACTATTGGAGTGCACCGCACCAATAATGAGCTTGACTCGCTCACTGAGCGAGTCAGTGAAACCTGGCAAATAATTTTGTCATCATCAATAAAGTATGCTCATCGAAGCCAAGGACAAGTTAGGCGACATTAGGGTTGGTTCGAGTTAGATTACAGTTAGTTTAGGGATATTTTCACGTTACGAATAGGTTCAGGAAAGATTAGGGTTATTGTTAGGGTTAGAAGACCTAAATAATTACATGCACAGAATGTGGTTAAAAATTACTCTGTTGATATAGGAATAGAACTTGTGCACTGTGACAGAGTATAATTCCATTGTGGGTAACATTTATTTTGATAAAGTCTCACAGTGTTATGCAGTGATATTTACTGATGACAACGTTTCAAGCACAATTTATTGCTCAGGAAATATTACTGTATTACACTATGAGACTTTATCAAAGCAAATGTTACCCACAATGGAATTATACTCTGCTGATACTTTAAAACTGGGAGCCAACGATAAGCATGTGTTCAAGGTCGTTGGAGCGTTCGCATTCCTGGGACACTGTTGTTGAACTTCGCCCTATTTTTATCACATGTGAGAGCAAGGTATCCTCTGTAACACTTTTCTACAGTTTTAATGCATTTTTTCATAAATATATGTATTCCATACACGAAAATGCCGCCTTCACGTGATTGGTGCGTTCGAGATCATTCGCTGATTGGTGGTAGTTAGTGGTGCTTAAAGTTTAACTTTGCCATGGTGGGAAATATCAGTGTGCAATATTATTCTTTCGCTTTATTGGTTATTTATACTGGGAGTGACAAATATCATACATATTTTATTATAAAATTTTTTTGCTGTGATGGAAAGTTTCTCACGTGAGGTATCTTGAAAACTCAAGAGTATGCTAGTATCACACTAAGCTATTATGATAATTGCTATTTCCTTAGGTTCCAAGTGGAACACATCACTTTTATCCTGTTCTCTGCATTTCCCTCTGGATGGCTCCACGATTACCCATAAGCTTTCATTTCTTCCTTACATGATCTCCTCCATGTTACCCTCGGACTGACACCCAAGTCGCCGTTTTCCATTCAGGTCTCACTCGTGCCACTGACTGGTGCTTGAAATCATTCAGCGGTCCATTCCGTTTCCTTCTGCATACTTGTTGGACGATAGGTTGCTGGTTAGTTCATTCCAAGATTCCCTGTTGCTTATTGATTTTGGCCATCTGATCTTTAGTATGCAGCGAAGGCATCTTGATGAAAGTCTCTTTTCCTTTCAGTAGCTGTATGATATTCGTTTCAAAAGAGCATCCTTCGTGTTAATTAAGCATTTTATGACTTTTTCATACGCCTTTCGGTACTTCCTTAATGATGAAAAATAATAATTATATTATTATTGCTTCCTTGGGTTCCGAGTGGAACATAAGGCTTCAACAACACATCTCCACTTTGTTCTATTTTCTACTGTCGTCTTCAGTTGGCTAGCCACACGATTGCCCATAATCTCTCATATCCCCCTCGCACTATCTCCTCCATGTCACCCTGGAAGTGACGACCTACTCATCAGTTCCCATTGGGATTCCACTCGAGTGATAGCCTGCATTCCGCGCGATGTCATTCGACAGCCTTCTCGACACATCCCCGATCCATCTCCATTTTCTCCTACATATTTGTTGAGCAATCGGCTGTTGATTTGTTTGTTGCCTGAGTTTACTAGCTTGCTAGTTTTCTAGCTGGTCTCAAGCCTGGGTATAAGGAGAGAGGGTTGGGTGTAGGGCTAGCTACCCTGCCCCACAAAACCATTCAAAGTGCTACAGAAATTTCAACCCACAAGAAGAATGATGAAAAATAATTGATGTTATCTTATTTAGTCTGGGGAACACTTACTGCGATTATTCTATAAGTCACCTATCTCTGTATAAAGTTGGTCGGTTGTCGGATAATTAGAAAAATGTTTCACTCAGTTCATCCGGTTTCGATACACCAATTATAAGCGCTTAGCTTCCAAGTAGGCTAAACATTCACTTTGTATTTACAGCACTAAAATTTACATACTTCGCATCTCTGATATCAGCATTAATTAATAGTTTCCAACTAATTATATCAATTAGTAGTCTGCATGTGTGTGCGTGTGTCGACTATAGTTATATAAGGTGTATCCGGCTTCTGTTTAGCCTGTTAGGTCAGTGGGAATGAGATTTGGTTGGTGCAAAGTGGGATAAATGAGGAGGGGGAAATCAACCAATGGTCATGTGAAGCAACATTATTTGAGATGGCTTGGAGACATGTTATGCGCATGCCAACGTCCAGTCATCGCCTCCATCTACGAAAACATGGCCTCAACCCCATGAAGCTGCATTTCTATGCAATGTTCTACGTTTGATCACTGAATTCTATCATCACTTCTTTTTCTATAGAGAGTTGTATTTCTCGTTCGTGTGTTTTTATGAGATACCCTTATTTTCCAGTATGGGTTTTGTAGGGAATTTTGTTTGATTGGTTGGAGGATTTCATCATGAGCAGCTGACATCAGGTGTTGCAACACATTTTCAACTGACAATTTGTTCTTATTCAGTTTTAGGTATCATTTTTGAGGTCTGTAATTTAAATTGTTCCTGTTTTATGTTTTGTTTTTCATTTTGTCCTATGTACACAGTGTGTGTGTGTAGTCACTTGCTTGGACACTGTTTACCACATGGGATAATACAAACGTTGACAATATGACAGCAGTCGATAAAAGGGTAAGTTGTGTGAAAATGTTTACATGAATCTTTATTATTTTTCTCTACAATGGTAATAAAATTCAGATAATGCGATTTGTTTCCCATTGTTAGATTTCTTCACGAACCAACACCCAGTTGGAGAGAGAGCATTGAAAACTGGGGAGCACTGGATAGTTCTTTCTTTCTATTTTGGGACGCTTCGTAAGTGCATACCTACCACCCCACTAGCGGTCGAACCTCTGGGACCTTCAGGTTACGAGACCAAACTGTGTCGTTGACCATTCAGCCATTCGAGCTATTGTTCATTGACCTGTGTGAATTCCGACTTCGTCAATTCGCGGTAATCTGAATATCAATGGCAAGCTCATTGATGGCTACTGGTTGGATGTTTGTGAAGCTCTGTAGGCGTGAGAAGTTGTGGCCAGTAGGCTTTACCATGTCACGGTGAAATGGATGCTCACCGAAGGCACTGGTGAAGGTAGCGCTATATCATGAAATGATAAAGTGGGTCATTGAATTTCAACCCAATCGAGCTTGGTCTCGTAATCAGAAGTTTCTGGGTTTGATCCCTAGTGGGGTGGTGGGTGTGCACTGTCGAAGAGTCTCAACAGCCAGGACGAAACAGTTGTCATTTGCTCCTTGGTTCTCACTGTATTTCTCTAACTGATGTTAGTACGCGACGAAATTTAACAATTAAACGTAATCAAATCATTTTTAGTTCGTATGACGATTTCTCAAAATTAAGATATTCGTACTTTAAACCACTTTCTATTGCCTGTTCAACAGCTAATTTGTGGTATTTAAGTGTCATATGAAAATACAAAATTATTGATCTAATGGCTGTGAAATATTCTCGTTTGTGAAGTTAATCGTCTACAGTCAGTCAGTCAGTCAGTCCATTGTCTTTCGTCTCGATTCTGCTAAGGTTTGTCAGAGCTTGTGTGTGGTCATCATGTTATCATTCTGTCATCGCTGATGTGAATTTAATTATTCATGTTTCAGAAGATTGATTAGTGAACAAAGAATATTATTTTCGATAACGTCTTCATCAGATTCTACACATAGATTTCTTAAATAATAATCATAAGGAATTTCCGATATTAACAGCATTAATGCTTTAAATGACATTGGAATCAATAAAATGTGAATAGAGGTTACAGTTCGAAAGCATCTTGTATGCGTCGGTGGCACAGCGGTTAGGACTCTCGCCGACCATGCACATGGTCCGGGTTCGATCCCTCCGACGCACACCTGATATGTATGGTCGGCCTGCAAAATTTGGGCTACCGATATCACTTGCTGAAAATTCCAAACTTGTACCAAAAAATACGGTGTAGAATCAAGCTGTAATCAAAAATAAAAATAAATAAAATCTTCACAGAAATGTAATATTAAACTGAATATCAGATAAATTAAGAAGAAATAGTAGAGAATTTATGAATCTATAGGTTCCACACATTAGGCCATGGTAGTAGTTTAACAACAGAAGACAAGGGTCAGGCAACAGATCGTTTATTGAGAAAATGGAGACATATTTATAGATTTTTATGTACGTTACTATTCGTTATTGTCAGCAGAGAAGCAACGTCTTCTGACTGGTTGTTTTCCTGCTGAAGGTTATTCTGTCATCTCTTTGTTGCCGTTTCTTGGACAGTTCGGTCTGCGAATCGTATCTGCCCTCGTTAAGTCTGTTGTGATTGGTTGTTGACTTCCTCAAGTTCCTCTCCCGACCCAGATTCGGGACGTAAACATTGACGCAAATTTTGGCTTGCAAACAGCTTTCACCACAGTAGTAGTAGTGGTTGAACCTGTTTCTTTCTCAAATGCTTCTGCTGTTTGGAGTGTTCGGTACCTAGAGGTCTTGAGTAATTTGTCGGACTCCCGACGGATGGTTGAAAAAGTCTCTTCAACGCTAGCCAGCTTTGTGGCCTGTTTGGACGATGTGATATAATATAGAACTGTTGTTGGTCTTCACTACACTTCTGTATTTAGAGGCACACTGGTTAGTAGGTGTTACGGAGCACGAGAAATGAAATTACTAGAGCGAAGGCCAATTTAAC